CCAGCTGTTTTTAAATTTTACCAACAAAAGGGAACATCGTTAATTGTAGATCCAGAGTCCAGACTCATAGTTAAAATTTAAACTTATTGTAAAACAAAACAATGAAAATTCACAAAATTATGCTTAATACTATAATAAGTTTAATGACCAATTATGATTATGCATATTTTTTCAATTTGAATAATTGTGTGAAGAGCTATTCGCTTAAAAATAACCTTGGATGTTTATTTTGAGGATAATTGGAGTCACGAATCATCAATTTTTCTACACATTACTCGTATTTCTATATTTTAYATTTTCTTGATCACTAATTATTTAATCTTGGCAGTAGATACATAAATAATATCAAAATTAAACGCAAAATAAAATAATTTGTAACTAAAAAAAATAACGAAAGTCGAAAACACAATAAAGTAGTAATGTAGTTATAATATTCATGTTCTGTTTTAAGATTCGATTGTCACTTGAAATGTCTTAAGCTACTTAAACTTCCTCTTTATTAAAATTATACATTGGTATTTACGATATTAATTGATGGCTACTTAATACTTATAACTTATAATTTTAACTTGTAAAATGGTTACTTTTTACAAGTTCTCGGCTATTTTTAGAAATCATTGAAAGAAAATGGATTTAAAAAGACAAAATTAATGTGTATCACATTAGCACATAATATGTATTACTTAAAGTGCCAACAATAATTAAAATGTAGAAATGTCCAATAGGTGACTTTTTAGTTGTTTGGTTAGAAAATAAAGGTATCTTTAAATAAAAAAATAAAGTAGATATAATAAACATCACTAATCATTCAATTTATTAGTACTGATCGTCAAAATAAAATAATAAACTATAAATCAATTAATACCCGTGGAAAATTAATTATATCAATTACGTAGGGATGAATTTTAGTTTAATGTTATTGATAATCGTATTGAACGTATATTAATACAAATAATTAAACTACTATCATATTATTAATGACATTCACTATTATTTATATATTTATTATTTCGTGATGCATTTATAATAATTGGGTTAATGTCTGTCTGGCCTCAAGCTTCCACTACTTAATCAGTCGGTTTCATCAGTGACCTCATTCTTCATTTTCCATCTCTAGAACTCATCTGCATTGTTTTATAAGTTTATTTTAAAAGCAAACTAAATCTTAAAATTTCATCATACCTATGTTTAACTGTTAAAGAATGTTCTTGCAATTGTACGCTAAACACAATAAACCTTTCTGTGGTGTAATTTTCAGTACTTAATTACTCGTATATTATAGGTACTATAATACTATTGCATTAAGTTTATCCRCGTTATTATCACACACATACTGCAGTTGACATTTTATTGTAAAATTAGATACCTAATAGATACTAATTTTATTGATTTTTGGTCATTGATCGTTATGACTSAATAAACTCATTGATACTTAATTTAATACTTATAAACTGCATATTTATAACTCATAAGGTAACAGGTATTAACTCGATTCTGGTTGTATATTATCATATTTATATAGTACTAACTGGTTTTTTCCTTACATGACAAATKACTAAATTTATAACTGAATATTATTAATTTATTCAGGACGACCCTTAATTTTAAAGACTGATAGAGTAAAGCATTTAAAATGGATTAAATGAAGTATAAGCAATCGTATCTACAAAAATTTGATTATTTAAAGTAATAGATACTTAGTAGATGAATATACATAAAGTTTAATTATAAATATACATTTAAGTAGGTATAAAAATTGGGGCTTATACTTAGGACGTATATGTATACTCATTGACACATACATATCTATAATCTATTGGTTATTATACTATTAGTATACTGTCCGAAGCGTATATAGTATATTATAGTGTTCATAAGGTTTTAAAATTAAAATTACTAATTTTTTTTTTTTTTTATGGTTAGGGCTTCGACAACTGAGGTCATTAGCCTGGGGAACTGTAGGGGAAGGTACTGTAAAGTTTTAACTTGTTTAACTCGTGGGTTTTTTTTGGCAGAATTTTTGAATGGGCACCCGTGGGTTTCTGCCATGCCCTGTTGGGGGTCGGCGGCCTCTCTCTCCAGACATCGCGAAATGCCCAAAGAGCGATGCCACCCGTGACMGAGATTCGAACCGGCGACTGCGTGCGTCGCAACCGACGCCTTAGTCCGYTCGGCCACTCCACCCCCAATTACTAATTTATTTAAATTAATGTTAAAGATTTTATATAATTTTAAGTCTTCTAAACTTTAAAATATTTAGGCTATAAAATGGATATAAACGTGGCTTGAATTTGTATAATTTTATATTAAAACAAGTTTTCAAAATTCAAACATATTAATACAAGAATAAGGCGAAAATAATAAAAAATAATTTGCGTAAATCATATTATACTATTATAGATAACCGAATTACGTAACTATAAATGTTCAAATAAATAACCAATAACTGACTGAATCCTAACGTATTACGAATATATAAGTATAAACTTTATAGTTGATTTTAATTATATGATCTTTAAATAACGAAATTAACGTAAGTAATAGGTACATATATTTTTTTGGATAACTGTTGAAAAAAGTAAAAATTATCGATGAAATATATTGACAAAACATAATTATTAAATAACGAGAAGTATAATACTTTTTCAAAACTTTGAACCCAAAAATTAAGTCACAAAATTGAAAGTACACATAATTATGAAATAAACAGCCATCCCGACACTACCCGAGATYTAAAACTAGATTAAAATAATACAGTTGAGCAATAATTTTAAATGTCTATCAGAAATATTTTAGATGAATACGTTCCTTTAAAAATTCTGATCATGAATTTGATTTATGTTAGGGACTCACTATTACTATAAAATCATATTTWCTGTAAGTATATACAGTATAAATAGCAAAAATCGTATTATTCAGATGTGATTATTAACTCATACACATTGGACCCATAAACAATTGACAGTTTTACTTAGCCGTATTCTATAACAGAATTTGTTGAATTTTATCAAAATATTTTGCAGATAACTGCTGAGAAAATAGAAGAAATCAGATTCATCAAAGAAAGCATATGTATAATATTATGTAAATAAAATGTCTACAAGAAAGTTTAAAAGCTATATTATACCTATTATTAGGTAGGTTTTTTTTTCGATGACTTTTTTTGTTTTTCTTATTTTGTATTACATAATACCTAGCTATTCACTTGATATATTTTTCTTGTAACCTTTTAATTTTATGTATACCAGCTAGACTGGATTTCAATAAGACATAAATAAAAAGCTATAGTGCAATAAACAACAACTTTACAGATTTTTTACTGCTCAAAAAGTAGTAACAYATTGAAAACATTAGAGAAAATATCACTGAATCTCTACGATACATTCTCAGGATTAGTAAGATTTAAAATACCTTAAAAAAATGATAATTGATAGTTGATATTCAATTTTTGTAAATGGAAAAACACAGAATGACATTATATGCCAGTTATTCAAATTTAAATACTAGTTAAGATACAAAAATATGGAATTATTATATTTTTCTTAACTTGATGGTGTATTTTAAATTATATACTTTAACTTACATTCAACTATATGTCAATTCATATTATAAGAATATGGCTTATATTTTAGTATTATAAAATAATTTAATAGTATTGCAGAGTAAATTAGGTAATTTTTAAGAACTTGAATGTATAATAATTGAATTTTCCCTAGTGATGAAGATAAGGGCAATTTTAACTAAAACCTCAATAAAAATAAATACCTAGGTAAATAAATATATGTTGAAAACGTTGTAGCTGTATAATAAACACGTTTTTTGAAAATAAACAACAATAATTAATTTATAATAATAATAGTTTTACGTGGACATTCAGGGTTATATTACTAATACGATTAATTTGGTAATTTATAATATTATTTGGTACCTAATATTAAACAATAGGTTTGTAGCTACCGGTGTTTTCGGCGCAGGATGTCAATTATTAGAGTTGTTGGAGAGTACTTATCGATAATTCAAGAACATTGTATGCATTGTGTTGTATGTAAACCATACACAATAAAAAATWAAAAATATATATAGGTAATATACCTATGTAATATGTATATTTGTGATTAAGTAACTGGCGAACACTGGCCGCCTGYTAGTATAATGTGTTAAGAAAGTCGTAACCACCACTTCGTTAGTATTTATAGTGTCAAACATTGTGTAGCGCAATGTATTAATACTCATATATTATAGTGGGAACCTATCTATTCACCTAATATGGGATGATGGAAATAAAAAACAAAAACGACTAATCAGCACGTGTTATTTAGACAGGAAATTGTGGTATATTGGTATAAACACCTATACTGTACATATAATATTATTATTATTATCATTAATATTATTATTTTACCTATCGAGTTAGAGGACCGCTGAAATCTGCACGTGGCATTTTCAAAGCTTTAATTTTTTATCGTACAATATGATCGGTCATTGAACGTTACAACTTACTGTTCAAAGGTACACTAGGTCGACGGTTTGTGCATTTGAGCGTGTTATGCATACGCACGACCGAAAGAGAAAGTAATAACGCATCGTCGTCGTATACCAATACAATAATAATAATAATAATAATAATAATAATAATAATATGATTATAACGTAGTATAGAGAAACGAGAATAAAACAAAAATCGTAATATCGTATTAAAACGAGAAATCTTCAGCTGGAAACACGCGAATTCAAAAACAAATCATTACCACCACACGAGGACATATCATAATAATAATAATAATAATAATAATAATAATAATAATAATAATAATATATAAATATTCGATAAGGACAATAAGGTAATATAGTTTATTAATTATCTTAAATATTGAAATATATAATACAATTTTAACCACACCCAAACGTAGGCCTCAAAAACATATACATTTATGTCAAAGACAATATTGAAATAATAATAATAATAACTACAACAACATTGATGTACTTAAATCACAAACCTGCTATAGTAATATATCCTTTGTTGGAGTAATCGATGACGGACCGCCAAACAATTTTCATCTACGTATATATCCTCTATGCAGGACGTGTGTGGTGTAGTCAAACGGAGCAATTGAAGTGTTGTCGGCGAAAAAATATTGTGCTGTCGATAACCGATAAAAATTTGAAAAAAAATAAAAAAATAAAAACCAAAAACACAGTCGGTGGTGTACAGTTGATAATAATGGCGTGTTGTTAGTCTCCGGCTCTTCGGTGTCTGATCAGAAGGACTTAGGTCGTTGTCGTCGTCGGCGGCGTCGATTTTCCCGTACGTAACGGAAGACGAAGATAACAATATAATATTACAATACGGAAATCGAAATGAAAAACCGTAAAAGAAGCGGCTTATCGTTAAGCGCCGAAATCTAATTATTAGGCATACGGTATTCGTACGGTTGAGAAACAGAGCGTGTGATAAAAAACGCGCCCAGCTAAGAATAATATACGATTATAATTTATGAATATCGCACTGTGAAGCGCGCCGATATTTATGTGGCGGTAGACCGCTATCGATACGTCGGCGAACACAACTGGACTGACCTGGGTCGACCGATTTGTTTACCTATAATATAATATAATATCGGCGAGCGTTCTGGTGTGCGCACGCGTGTGAGTGTTACCTCGGTAGTAAATCGGTAATAGTAGTGGTACTGGTAACAGTAGTAATAGTAGTAGTAATAGTYGTAGTAGTAGTAGTAATAGTGTTAGTGTATGGTCTTCGTCGCGTGTAGTGACTCACGGGCTGAGGACGACGATGGCGGTGTGATGAAAGAAACGACAAGAGCGAACAGCTGATCGACGGCGCTCACTGCAGAGTATCGCCGCGGCGAACCGGTTAGCGGGACGCCATCTGTGGGCTGATAGRTGCGACGACGATAAATTGCAAACATTTTAGCWCTTGAAATGAATTTAATGTTAAACTAATAACTAATAAGTGTATGTTTTTAGATTCTAAGCGGAGCGATTAATGTAATAATTGATTTTAGAATGATGTATGTGTAATTCTTGGAATTCAAAAAATGTTTGCCTTTATCGTTTATTAAAGTAGAAAAATGCTTTAACCTTCAACTTGAAGGGTGGTTCCTAGTAGAAAATTGGAAATTTAAAAAATAATCAAGAAAAATTTAAAAATAAAATAACCGAAAAATTTGAATTTTTACTTATCTACCAATTTAGAAAGCGACTTCTATACGGTATAATATGTGATATTGTCTTTTACGTTTCAAGTTAATAACAAAAAATGGTATAATATAATAATATATTATTATAATAATACCTGCCATGTTCTTGACAAACATTACTACAATGTTACAGCGTTGATAGTAAAGTATAATAATTATACAAATTAATTAATATACCTTCTAAATTATTTTGGTTTGTTTTGTGATATTAACTAATGAATATTTGAAAAGTTGAACTTTAAATTTGATTTATGTATGATTAAATCACTAAAAAATGAGGAGTATTAAAAATTTGTGGTTTATACTAATCGTATATTATGAAATAAATATAATACTAATTATTATTAATACTGATACTAATACCATCATTTTTTAATCAATAAAAATATTATTACTATGTAGGAATCATCATTTACGCTGAATTATTCTTGATTTAAATGAAATTATATTGTACTTATACAACGGACATTATTATTATAGTATACTATACGGACATGTGTTCGTCAATTATTTATTTAAGAATTGTTAGGTTTATAGACGGAAATAAGTTCTAAATTAATCCGATATTTTTTTGGTAAATTATAAAATAAAATTGAAAATGTTATTCATATTTCAAGTTTTAAAATATTTTCAATTAATGTTCATAATATATTATATTATTATGTTACAATATACATARCATTTAAATGTTATTACTCGTATAAATTTATAATATACTCATCAAAGTCGATTACCTATTCAGTATTGGTTGTTTTCATTTATCTGCGACACCCAAAATCAGATACATGGACATGAAGGTAAGTGAAGATATTCATTCCAAGGCCCAAGTAATTTAGACATTATTATCAATCATACATTGGTATAATTTTTTTTTTATTATTATTAACAGTAATATTTAGCACGAAAAAAAATAYATATAAGTATATTTTTTTGTTATTTGAATTTATGCTACCTACGTCATAATAATGCATTCACATTTAAATAAGTATTCACTATATTATACAGGTACGAGAGTGGATTGTGGATATATAAAATCAATTCGCATCCGCATACGCATATTCGTGTAATCGTGATGTTGTTATAATGTAATGACGTACAAAATATAGATACCTATGACCTACGGACACAATATTATATAGATGGCTAGAGGTAAGTATAATTACAATAATTTAGGTGCGTTTGAATTACTCTATTTAATGCTTCAGACGTCAATCGCTATTCTTTGTTAGACAATTTTATCGATGAACAGTTCAAGAACAATAACTAACTATAGTAACCACTAAGAAAAGTTAAATAGGAATATTATATACTTATAGTAATAATAAAACATTTTGAACCTTATCCGCACTCGGAACCCATTATAAATCGTATAGGTAGGTAGGTTAGAAGGACCTACAGTTGTTTATTCGGCATGCTCAGTCAGTGCTCATCCCAATTTTTACTTTAATCATGCATACTAATTCAAATCTTGGTTTTTAAAATGTTAAGTTTAATTAAAGACCATATTTTCAATTACTATATTAGATTTGTTACTAAAAACTGTGGTTTATAGTACAAACTTCTATATATTTTTAATCGAGAATTACCTGTTTTTGCAGTATTGTTAAGGAATTTTTTTATTTTAAATTTTAATATATTTTAATCGAAATTCTAACAAGTAGTTTTTGAGTTTTGCAATTAATTATAAAATAATGTGTTAAACATTGTGTTAATATACTAATGTGGTTATGTGGTAAATGATTAATAAATGCTCTAATCGATAGATATCGATTTAATGACTTCTTTACGTATTAGTTTATAATAATATTATTATAATATGCATTATTAAAGGATAAAAAGAGACGAGCATAATATGTTGTGTGAATTTTACATAGAGTTATTCTGACAGCTTATATACTATATATTAATCATTTGATTAAATATTTTTTAAATTATATCCTAATAATCGAACTTATTAGAAAATCTGACAGGACAGACAATAGTTGTCCTTTTGATGATTTTTTGCRTGTATGTGGGGGAGAGATTTGGCTACCGCTATAATCATGGCAGGTCTGGACGACTAGTGTCGTCCGAATTTAAGTATATATACCAATGGATGGTGAGCGGCCAGCTAGTGCTATGTTCTGTACGTCGATGATCGATGACGATGATAGGTTATAGACTTTTTAGATTTCTAAGTTTTAGTACCTTAAAAACAGTTGTGTCTTACCGGATCGTAGTTTTCCGACACCGTGCACCGTGTTCCATGCATTTGTATAGATATCTTGATTGGCTGAACCACGTGGTAGATATCCAGTATTACCAAGGGTTTTCATGGTATGCCGAGTTTACCAGTGATAACACAAAGTTGAATTTGATTCAACTTTTCATCGAGTGGTAAATGTACAGTGGTACTAATTAATTCAAGTTTAGGTTATGAATTATTGTGATAAAGACTATATGACAATCATTATATTATTTATTACTAAACTATAGTATTAAACTGTTACCATTAGTAACCAAGACAYKACAAACGTCACTTCCACTTCCAGAATTTTTACATGCATGATAATGGAACAAGGTGCAGTSAATAATACCAATGCWGTAAGAACGGGTAATCACTAATCCGTTCACTATAATTAAAAACAATATGTGCAACGTCACTAATACCGGGCCTGATCAAAATATTGCGTTTAYCTTTGCACGGCCGTTTTATTTTAAAAACACATCTACAACACGTGTTGTTGAAAAGTTTAGTTCGGCCCAACTTTTAAAATTACCCGGTTTATATACCGCGGTAGATATTGGTTAGTGGATGATACCGCAATTACAACGGTCGATCATAGTACGATAAAAACCAAACACGACAGACGCGCGACGTATAAACTTAAACTCTCTTTAAGTTTAAAAAAACGTAGTCAGCGATTGACTTGTGCCCAAAGGCGTGGCACTACTACATGATGGCAAGTTTAAAAGGAAAAAAGATTTGTGAAGAAAGTGTGCTGAATGTTTCGTATTACATTAGTTGACAGATACTAAAAACAGTTATCTATTATATGTGTGTTTAGGCTAGAACATGGAAGAATACAATACACACTGACTGTTCGTTAGTCACATTAAACCATGTACCTACATTATAATTTAAATTTTTATAGATTATGTCGTGGTAAGTTAAATGTAAGTGTCTAATACATTTTGTATTGATTATATAGTTAATTAGACCAGAAATGTTACGAACCATAATATTCGAGGTCGAACCCGAACCAGAACCGAACTTTTCAAATCAACGAATTCGAATAGACCCGAATTCAACCAGTTTTAATCGAATCGAACTCTTCAAATATTTCATGGAACTCCAACCGAACATTAAAAAAGTCAAAATTGGATATTATTTTATTATTTATTTTAAAATTTATTAAAATTTAATATTTATTTTTTATTTTTCTGGTTGGATCATCGAACCAAACTTCTAAGTATTTGGTTCGGTTTGATTATTTGGGATTTCCAGTTCGATTTTCTCTAACTCTGGTTGTGCGGTTCGGTTCGAAAATTGAATAGTTCATAACATATATCTATTAAATAGATATTATTATTATTATATTTTATTACTTCAAACTTACTTATATCTAATCGACATTGTTTTATAAGTCCATTTTTACGCATTCAGTACCATGGACCTAAAAAAAAAGTGCTGTCACCACGTCGGTGCGTCGAAGAATAACTATTATGCATTAGACATTCGATTTTGAATGCTAGTGAGATAACCTACTTATAGAAAATTTATTGAAAGATTCACATTGAACGTCACGCTTTGTTTGTATCATCTTATAATTCACACGTAATAGTTGTGGTTTGAATGTTTTCGTTTTATCCTTGAAAATTAGTCAGTTGGTCGTGATCGAAAAGTATGTGATGGATCAAAATATTTAATTTTAAATAGAACTTACATATGAAATTATATTTTATAATATACGTCTCTAACCAAATTGGTTTTATTTTGTCTGAAAGTACCATGCTATTATGCCACAAGGTTATACAAAACTATAAATAAGTTAAGAATACTTTAAGAAAATAATAATTGTATGCAGTGTTGGCCAATAAACAGAAMGACCCTCATATAAATGACTTCATCCCTCCCTTGATCCCAGTAATTAAATCCCAGAGAGACACTATATTTTTTCCTCAATAATTACAGTYAGTGTAATACTTTAGATAAAGATAAAGCATTATGTTTATAYTAATATGAACGTCAGCAGATAGTAATTTTATCAGCATAATATCGACGTACATGCTTATAAGATATAAATACATGTATGGGTGGAGACTAGAGAGGTTGGAGTAGAAACGTAAAAAAAAATTCAGTAGATTATCTTTACAATACGAAAAC